AAAAAAAAAAAAAAAAAAAAAAAAAGCCAATCATGGATCAAATGTACTATCCTGCTACTCTGTGTTTTGTGAAACTAAGTTCTCCTAGGAAAAAGTTACACAACAGTGCAGATTGTTACTAAAACTACTTACTCTTTTCATTTGACTGGAGCAACTCTACACTCCCCCAACCTTCCGCCAACCTCCACCGTTTGGCTCAGTAGCTGAGCTTGTCTGCTACTTCACTGAGAAACCAGCAGCTTACGGCCCTGTGCACCATCATCTCCCTCCTTTCTTCTCATCACAAATAGCAGGGAGAATTCCCTTCCCATGCAAACCCCGTATGTCTGGGTCTTAGCCACCTTTCTCCAGGATCTTTAAGCAACTGGATATTCTCATCGCTCCTGGACCTTTGAATCCTTTCTACCAACATTTAACCTACACCAGTTTCCCCCATTATAAAAAGAAACAAAAACAAAAACCAGAAAACAAAAGCTTAAAACTCTACTTGGAACCCAAACTTCCCTTCGCTGCTGTTTACTCTTTTCCCTTCATAGCCAAACTTCCCAAAGAAGTTATCTCTATTTCCTCACATCTCACATCTCGCTTCTCAGCCCACATCAGTCCATCTTCTAAGGTAGATCCTGACCTTGATGCATTAGGCCCAACGTGCACTGCCAAGTATGCATCACACTTGATGTCTTGGTACTATTCATCACTGTCTCCTTCTGAATTGTTATTGTCCACCAGCTTTGGTGACATCACACTCTGACCGTTTCCCTGCTGCTTTTGGCCATTCTTATTATCTCTTTTGCCAGCTTTTCCTCCTCTAGATAACCTTAAAATGTCAGAGAGCCCTACGTTTTGTTCTTGGGCTACTATCCATTTCAACTCTTCATTTACCAACTGTATGCTACAGATGCTCACAGGCTATAGCCTGGGCATTCTTTATGCTTCAGACCAATACTCCCAACTCCATACATTCAACTCCCATGCATCTCCACTGGGATCTCTCAGAGGCATTTCAAACTCAACATGTTCAAAACTGAAGTCATCATCTTGTCCCCCAACCTTCTTTTCCACTAGCACTACTCATCCTAATAAACCACACCACACTCCATTCCAGAAACCTGGAAGTAATCCTAATATCTTCTCCCTCTCATTTCACTCTGGCTCAACTTCCCATCAAGTCTCAATCTTTTAAATACTTTTTTAACCTGCCAATTTTTCTTCATCACTACTGTGAGTGGCATAACCCAAGTCGTCATCATCTCCTCGGAGAATTTCTGTAGCCATTCTTTATTCATCCCAACCTATTCTCCTTCTTGCAACCAGAGTGACATTTTCAAAACACAAATCTAATCCTTTCCATCTTAGCACCTTGCTCTCTTTTTTTTGGATTAAGTCCAAAGTCCTCAGCCTGGCCTACCTGATATGACTCCTATATACCCTTCAAATATATCTCACTTGATTTTCCTCCAAATCCAGTATTCTGCATCGAGACTGGTCTCTTCCTGTTCCTTGAGCCTACCAGGTTCTCCTGCATTGTAGGGCATGCGCATGCTGGGATGAGCTTCCTATTTCTAAGCCTGGATAACTCCTACTTATCTTTCAGTCACAGCTTATAGTTCACGTCCTCAGGCTACCTTCCAAGAATACGTTAGGTTCCCATTTTAAATAACATTTACCAAACCGTAAATGGAATGGTTATTTGTTTGTTTCCCTCTCTTATTAGACTGAGCTGCAAGCCTGTGTGTATTTCATTCTTGTGTCATCAGTACTTAGTTTGACACATAGTTGGAGCTCAGTAATGCTTATTGAATAAACAGATGAGTATTCCACAGTCCTTCCCTCACGATGCTCTTGGTCAAGAAAAGAGTCTTACATAAAAACCAGAAATTTGCATTACAGTGTGATTATGTTGTACCAAAATGCTGACTGAAGCTGGGTCCCAATGTGTGGTGATACTAGAATAAATATTTATACTTTTAATTAACAAAATTAAGAAAATATGTCTTACACATGTATGCTCTCACACCTTCACAAAATACCTTGAGGGATAGATAGAAATAAGAACCGCCCAATTCAAAGGTAGCTTTTGGAAACTGCTTTAAAAAACAAATAATTTTTAAATAAATCGAAGGAACTGATGTTTAAAAATTGTAAACAAGTCCCTAATTAAGAAGTATTTTTGTTAGTAGATAAAAGGACCTATAAGGAAAGAAACATGGGATATAAAAGACTTTTCTCCAAACCGCACCTCACAATACACTACCAAGGACACCATCACAAAGGCCTGGAATATTAAACCCATAAACCAGAAAGCAAATGCCTTCCATCAGCTAGCCCAGATGTCACTCTGTGTGGACAATATTCCAGTAAATTCTCAATGAATGCCACTTAGCATTTTTTTCAGGACTACTTTAATGTACTTGATTAGATTAAGGTTTAAAGTGATCTTTTAAATATTTATCCAGAGCCTGATGGCTGTCATAATTCTCTCTGTTACATCTGTAAGAACAGTATGACCTCAACTACTGGGAGAAGTATTATATTAAGAATTGCAGCAAGGGAACATAAAAGAGTCAAGAAAAACACGGAATAAAAATGCATGAGATGTAACAATTTCCTTGGTAAATTATGTATGATATCTAATGGGTTAACTCAACAATGAATAAGACAGAGAGCTATCTATGGGGGAAAAGAACCCTGTAAATTCTACAGTCCTTCATTTTATTGCCTCTAGGATAAAGGGAACCCATAA